TTCTCTCTCTCTCTTTCATTTCCTAAAACAAACACAACCAAAGAAAGAATGTGCATCTGGAGCAGCCATCAGCTACTGCTTTCGAGCGAGGCCACCGATGGTGCATAAACCAAGGTGAAATCTACACACATATAAAAAATGCTTTTTTAAGAAAAAGTTTTGAAAAATATATTGAATTTGCCATAGCTCACCACTGCCATATAGTGTCATATATGTATACTGCATTTTACAACACACTTGAAACATTTTATTTGCAGCGGTATAGCTGAGTCCCAAAACAGTTGCCTAGGGTGCTTCCAGACTGTCACTATTTTCAGGCAGAATTCAATCACAACCCAGAGTATTCAGTTTGTGGAATCAAAGCTGATTTGGAGCTCTTGCACAACAAACCCAACTCCCACAAAGATCAGACTTTTGCAATAAGGAAAGTGACAGGGGAAAAGCATTGGGAAGTGTAGGCTAGCACTTGCTTGACATAACAGTCATGAAACCCCACCACCGAGAAAGCAGGATGAATGCTTATTAAACAATGATGCTCTTCAAGTTTCTTTTGGTTTCTCTCTTTTCCAAATGTAAGTTCAGTTCTCCAAATTTCCAAGTCGGTTTTTAAAATCTTCAGGAAAGTTCACCAGTGAATATTTTTACTATACACATTTTGGTATGCAATTTCCCCTAATATGATGCATTTTTTATGTTCTTTTTAATAATGTATGCATTTTATGCACACTTTGCCCTCACACATGTGCTTTTGTACACATTACTTGACTGAAGGACTTCCGAGAAGAGCACATTTCAAAGGACAGCAGGGTCTCAGGTTGGTTTTGTTTCAGAAAATGTGTATTGCCTTTAAATATAAAACGAATCACAGTTCTCCTCCTGTCTCTACTTTGTACAGCTCTTTTAAGAGAAGTGTACACAACGCTTGTTAGCACAGGTGAAAGTATGCAATTAGCTGCTTTGTTTATGTCTGGAAGTCCTGCTCATACAGTGTATGCTTACTTTTTCTGCATCTGGGCTTATTATTAAATGCTAATACTTACAGAAGATTTGGGTGTCTTTACATTTATTTAACTGCATGTTCAAACAGCAGACAATACAATAGTAATTATAGGCTATGCTCCAAAGAACAATGCAACCAACCAGCACTGTGTGCATGAATTTTTCAAAACAGCAGATCTCTGTGCCACATGGCAAAGAACTTTCAAATTAAGCGAGTTTTGAAAAACAGTTTTTTGATGGGTCATAGGAACATGTACAAAAGGTGGTGGGGAGTAAAATAGAAATTACCAGGACAATGTAACACATTGGGTGCAGTTAACATACTGTAGCTCTATAAATCCCAGTCGTAATCTTGTTCATATTTTAGCACATCTCAGAGATGTTTATATGTTTCCAGTGGAGCATCAATGATGTGAAAACATTTTCTTTAGAAAGGCTTGTTGTGGTCCAGCATAATTACTATGTTGCAATTGTATTTATCAGTGTGATTACTTGCTGTATCATTGTGCCTGGGATATTTACTTTACTGAAGGGTTTAAAACACACAAGTATTCAAAAAAGGGGAAGAAAAACCACAGCATATACATTAGAGGTGGTACCACTGAAATTGCATCCACCCCACCCCAAGAAAATATCCTGTGACCTGTTTACCCATCACAGAGCTACAATTCCCAGCACCATTAATAAACTGCAATTTCCAGGATTCTTTTTGTTGGCCAGGGGAGAGATGTCCTTTAAATGTATGGTATGCACCCAGTCATAATCTAGGGAATGAAGGTGTTATAAGATTATGGAAGTAGTGCAGTCGTAGAAAGAAGTGTGGAAAGAAAGCAAGATATGGATAACATTCAGAGACATTTTGGCTTAGACTGAACTTGATTAGACAAGCTCTTAAGCTGCACAGTATTTCATCCAGGCCACAGTTCTATTAAAAGCTAGACACAACAGTGGGCACAAATTAAGCTTCAGAAGAAGGGAGACTACAGAATGCCCATTTGCAGGGACTTCTATTAAGACGAGGTCTCCTGTCAGTTGTAAAATTTATGGATATTGACTGAGTCCTGAAAGGTCCAGGAGGACAGCCGGCAGAAAGAACTTATTAAGGTAATGAGAAACACCTGAATTAGACCTACCATAACCAAACAGCAGGAATTGATAAATCGAAGCGAATCCATTTGTATACTCCATTTGTATCTGAATATCATTGGCAAAGGGGACTTGACCTTTGACCTGGCAATGCCCCCTTGCCCCCCCTTGATTGCAGCACACTGTGTGACTTACAAGATGGAACGGAGTGACTGATCAGGCACACAGTTGGTCTTTGTTACATCACCCCTCTGGGTTTGATTCTTCCTAATAGCATCTGCCAAGTTCCATAAGCATCAAATTTTTACTGAGCTAAAAATTGCGCTCTCCTGCTCTGCATAGTTTGGTGCATTTTGTTTATCCCCCCCCCCCCAGATCTGATTTATTCATCTGCAGAAGCTTAAACCTGTTCTATGAATAAAGGAATAAACACTTTGCTTTGGAGACAAATCTCCAAAGTTTTGTAAGCAGTTATTGAAATAAATGAGTTTGCCATGCTGGCAGGATACTCTGTGAAATATGACCCAACAGCCTGGCCCTAAAACACAGTTGCTTGGAAGAACATCCCATTGATTTGCAGTTGATCTGCCTGAGGTCCCAATAGACTGAGCCACCATTATTTATTCTGATGCTTAAGAGGAACCTAGGAGCCACACTGTTAGGTATTCTTCAGAAATATAATACTCATTCAGAGAGGCTTACAACTGTGGATGTATAATTGTTTGCAATTAGGAAAATCCTACCTGTCTGAAGTGATTTGTATGTTTTCTTCCTTTGTATTTTATGTTCAGGCTGCAAAAAACAATTCAGAGCAGGGTGCTTCCCAAAGGGGGCCTTACAAGCATTCAGGAAGGTATATTTTTTCTGTATTTTCACTCCCACACATTCCTCCTCTTTCAGTCAGGAATATCCATTGCTATTCTGCGGCTTGCTGTCCACATCAGTGGGCAGAGCTTTACTGAACATACCTTGGTAGCGAATTTTGTCCCTCCCCACATCAACCCCTTCCTTGATCTCCACTATTTTTTTCTGTTCTGGACATGCTCACAGGTATTTCTGTACCTGTTTCTGTGTGCACCTTAAAAAAGAAATCCCATGGAGTGTGCAAGAGCAAAAGTGATCAACCTCATAATGGACAAAATGAAGGCTTGCATTTTATTTTGTGGGGGCAATATCCATTTTCATCTGGTAAATGTTTTGTGTGTTGGTGCAGGAGAAGATAGGCAGAAAAGGATAATTCCTGGATGCCAAGATTCAAGTTTACACAAGAACTCTTTGGTGAGAGAACCTAAGCAAAGATTTAACATCACAAAATACGCCGCAATGTAAAGCATGGAAATATAGACTGTTAGAACTTTAAAATACACCCTTCTAAGTTCTTTTCAAAGTTCCCTTCTTCTCCCAGCATAGGAAAATGAACTTACATGTTTGGTAAGTTTTTAAAAAAATGGCTTACTTGCAAACTTTTCAAAGGTCTGGTTCATACGCTTTTCCATAAGTAAGTCAGAAAAACTGCAGAGACAGTGAAACTTGATTTACTTACAAAGTGGTAAAAGTTCCTAAATTATTGGTATATGAACACTATAATGGCATGAGACAGCCATGCAGCCAAGCTGGAGCAATCAGCAGTGACGGAGCTTCATGCTCCGGCACCAGGGGCGGAGAACAGGTGGGGGCATTGTAGAGCTAATGGCACCAATATCTGTTTAATGCCATGCCTAAAATATAGTGCTCTGCACCATCTTTTCAGGATGCCCATTCCATAAGATGTAGAATTTGGCTTTTACTGTGGTGGCATCTACCCTATGGAATACTCTCTCATTATATGTCAGTTACAGGCTTCACTTTTACTGTTTTCGGGGTGCTTGTTGAATACCTTCCTGTCCCAACAGGACTTTTAAGTGAAGGTTTTTCTCCGTATCTGTATTGGACTTGAAATTGTTTTTATATATGTTTTTATTGCTAAATCACTTTTATGGGAAGGGATTCACAAATGAAATTAATAAAATAAACATCCCATCTCCTCTAGCTCTTATGCTGATATAACTGGAGGGGGGAAATGTAGAATTGCTGCATTGTGCAGCATTATAAGAAACTGCAGGAAACCTAAATGGTGTATTAATTGGTTGAATAAATTCCCCTTGAAATACAGCAGAAGAATTTTCAGTTGCATTAAATAAATGAAGGCCTTAATGGTTTTAGCTAATGCTCATGAGGAAAATGTGCCATGACTTCAATACTGCAGGCTGCAATAATAAAACAAACCACCCTGATATATAACATACATATATATAGAGAGAGAGATCAGTAGCATATTTCAAAAGATTTCATACTTTGTTTTCTAGTTACTAAAAGCCTTGGGAAGATGTTGATAGTGCTGAGCACCCTGCTTTCTGATTTATTGAAGGTGACTATACAGTATTTCAAAAGTCTTACTGAAGCCATAGAAAACCAACACCAATTAAGCACATTTACCATTTTGCAATTTGAAGAAACCAATTTAACAGTTTTTGTGGTGCAATGCTTTTGTTTGTGTGAGGTCATTTCCTTAGAGAAACACAATTTGGGGGTGGGGTCTAACCACTGAATGAGATTGTAAGGAATCTGGTCATACTTGGAATTTCACCATTGCATTAGTGCTGATTCATTTAGGGCTTGGTACAGACCAGGGACGTGGGTGGCGCTGCGGTCTAAACCACCAAGCCTAGGGCTTGCCAATCGGAAGGTTGGCGGTTCGAATCCCTGCGACGGAGTGAGCTCCCATTGTTCAGTACCAGCTCCTGCCCACCTAGCAGTTTGAAAGCATGTCAAAGTGCAAGTAGATAAATAGGTACCGCTCTGGTGGGAAGGTAAACGGCGTTTCTGTGCGCTGCTCTGGTTTTGCCAGAAACAGCTTAGTCATGCTGGCCGCAAAAACTGTCTGCGGACAAACGCCGACTCCATCGTCCAGTAAAGCGAGATGAGCGCCGCAACCCCAGAGTAGTTCACGACTGGACAGCTGTGGCATTTCCCCTGAAATCATGCGAAAAGGAGGAAAGGAAGAAAATCAATTATCGTAAGAATTCAGAAGCATTTTAAAGCTCTTGCATTCTGGAAAATGCAACTGAATTTATTGGTTACTTCCCAACATTCCATGAACCAAAGACTTTGGAATCTATGCTCATGCCAGGAGCACATTTTTGAAAGTGCTGCATACCAAAAAGAAAGTCATCATCATTTCCAGAATTTCTCTGCCATTATGCCTTTTGGAATCCTGCACTCACAGACCACAGAATACTGGAAGAGACAGCCTGATCCTCTGCACATTGATTTGCAAGCAAGTCCACCTGAGTTCAGTGGCTCAACAGCTCACCATCCAATGTGCCTAGCACTGCAGCCTCACAACTTTGCTGCCTGCTGAGTGCAACTTCCTTTATTCAATCATTGCTCACTAAAGTGCTTTCTTCTAAAGTCCCAAATCCCAATTCCTTGATTTAGAGTGGTCCATATATCTAAATATATAACATTTAGCAGCACAGATACCAAAGTACAGCTTAAGGGGATGAAAACCAACAAACATAAGGCAATATTCTTCTTACTTTGTTGTAGAATCTATGATTAGGAAATCTTTTGCCTGACTGTGATGCTGAGAATTTCTAGAACTCAGGGGAAAGGGCAAATAAGTCACATGGGCATTTCTAACTGATGAGAATATGTGAGGCTGCCCATATACCAAGTGAGAGCTTTGATCTAGCTCAGTATTATTCTCACTGACTTGTTTTCTGACGCCATCAGGAGATCTCACCTCAATTCATAACTTTTGGGCCATGTCTCGCCTCGCCTCTTTGCACCTTGGAGTCCCAAGGTGACATATATCTTATTCAGAGAAGGGCCAAACAAGGTCATAAATAAGTAATATCAAATGATACATCTCAGGCCAGAGAGACACACTTGTAACGCAACTCGTCATCAACAGAACCGGCAACAAGCAGCAGGGCAACAATTTAGCGAAATGAAAAATGGGAGACTGGAAGCAAGCATAAAGCAAAATCAATTCTCAGTGTTGCAGGAACACAAAAATGTTCCCAAACACGTCAGCTGAGAAGTCTCACTCTTCTTAAGCGTAGTAGATTAATTAACCAGACCTGAGAGAAAAGTAAGGCAGCAATGCCAAGAAAAGATGTTCCCAAAGATATAATAAGACAGGCTGGGATTTAATATAAAAAAGCCCTGGCTCTTTACCTGACATGGGCGTGTGAAACAATTATGAAGATTTGCTAATTGCAGCATCACACTTCACCTGTGGAGTTCTGAAAGAAAAAGAAAGTGCTAAACCAGGAAAGAGGACAACAGGTCTTCAGTGGGACACACCTGCACACACAAGCAAGATTGTCAGTGGAACGGCAGCTCTCCAAAAAAAGGGATGGGGGAAATGTAGTCTGAGGACTGTTCTATTTCATAAATGGGAACCTTAAGGCCTACACCAGGGGTGCTATCCCAATGTTGTTAGACTACAACTTCCCATAATCCTTGGCCACGGCCAATGCTGACTGGGGCTTATTGGAGTTCAGAGCATCTTTATTTTTTATTTATTCAAACAATTTATATGCCACTTAGCTACAATAGTCTCTAAGCAGTTTAGGTAAAGGTAAAGGTACCCCTGCCCGTACGGGCCAGTCTTGCCAGACTCTAGGGTTGTGCGCTCATCTCACTCTATAGGCCGGGAGCCAGCGCTGTCCGCAGACACTTCCGGGTCACGTGGCCAGTGTGACAAGCTGCATCTGGCGAGCCAGCGCAGCACACGGAATGCCATTTACCTTCCCGCTGGTAAGCGGTCCCTATTTATCTACTTGCACCCGGAGGTGCTTTCGAACTGCTAGGTTGGCAGGCGCTGGGACTGAACGACGGGAGCACACCCCGCCGCGGGGATTCGAACCGCCGACCTTTCGATCGGCAAGTCCTAGGCGCTGAGGCTTTAACCCACAGCGCCACCCGTTTACAAAGGTACAATAAAGAAAACAGTCAAAACTTTTAACAAAATCAAGCATCAGTTAAAATATTTGCTAGAATAAAAAAGTATTCAGTAGGTGTCAGAAGTTCAGGAGGAGAGAGGGCCTGTCTGAATTAAACGGGGAGTTCCTTAAAATAGGGTCCACAACACTACATGCACAGGTTCTGGTGAATTTTGTGGCCATCCCTGTTTTACTTGTATGCTGGCTACCCTGCTCCAGACACCTCAGAACCAGGTTATCTGATTAACAGGTTAATTTATTAACAGACCACCTTCTCTGTCTAAGTCCTCCAGGTCACTGCAATCTACTGGGGATGCAGTAAATGACTTTGTAAATAATAAATGCTCTAGAGAGATTACAGCTTCCCATCTCAGGTGCATTTTTTATCTATTTAATTATTCGTCCTCCTTAAAAAATAATAATTCTGCCTTTCAGAATAAAATCTCAGAAAGCTGCTGTTTTTATGTATTGTGGCGATCAATTGTATTATTTTTTATTCTACAATACGTAGTACAACATCTACTGGGTTTTTTTTTGGGGGGGGGAATGACAATAATTGCAATAGGTCATATACAATATTCAGGAAGGAAAGTCTGTAAAGCTTTTCTCACTCAGAAATGCCCCCTGCTCCAATAAACAAAAACTACTGAAGTACATTGAGCCATTGTTTTAATAACTTGTGGAGGAGTAGCCATGTTAATCTGCTATAGCAAGAAAAGCCAATAGATTTAATGTGGCCTAAGCCACTGAGCCTAGGGCTTGCCGATCATAAGGTCGGTGGTTCGAATCCCCGCAACGGGGTGAGCGCCCGTTGCTCGGTCCCTGCTCCTGCCAACCTAGCAGTTTGAAAGCACATCAAAGTGCAAGTAGATAAATGGGTACCGCTCCAGCAAGAAGGTAAACGGCATTTCCGTGCGCTGCTCTGGGTCGCCAGAAGCGGCTTAGTCATGCTGGCCACATGACCTGGAAGCTCTATGCCGGCTCCCTCGGTCACTAAAGCGAGATGAGCGCCGCAACCCCCCCCCCCAGAGTCGGCCACGACTGGAATTAATGGTCAGGGGTCCCTTTACTTTTACCTTTAAGCTATCATGATCTAGAGTCACTTCATACACCTGATGAAGTGGGCTCTAACACCAAGGCTGCAAGTTCGATCCCCATAAGGGACAGCTGCATATTCCTGAATTTCAGGGCATTGGACTAGATGATCCTCAGGGTCCCTTCCAACTCTATTTTTCTATGATATAGTCCAAGGAAGGTTATGTCACAATAAAGCTATGCATCATAAGAGCCTTCACCATTTAGCAAATACATGTAGAGTGGGTCTTCTGCCATCTTGTGGCAGAAGGGTTACATGTGTTCAATAGATGCTCATCTATTTCAACTGGAGCCATTGCTTAGTAAGTTCAGAGTGCAAGGGGGTTTTTTTTTGGTGGTACAAGCAGCTGTGGTACATGATTCCAAAGCTGACCCCAGGATCCTCTGCAGTGAAATAAACCATTGGTCTTCCAATGGTGGGTCAGGACACACTATCGGGCTTTGGCCTTGTCTAAGGCAGGTTGAAACAAGCCACAACGCCACCATACAACATATATTGTAGAAAATGAAGAAATGAGTCCACAATTGCACATAGGGGTTAAAGGTGGGTCCCAGGTCTTAAGAAGTTGAAGACTGCTATAATATAGGATGATGGAGCACAGCTCACAATCCAACAGTTGCCCAATTTGCACAGTTCTTCACACAGTCCAAGAGCTGCTCAGACTGGTTTACTCTGGGACTTTGGAGGCAGTCCTGGCATCCATCATTTGCAATGTGTGCTGCTACCTCAAGTGACTGCTTACATACAATTAGAAGTGCCCTGATTTTTATTTTTATTTTTATTTTTACAAAAAGCTTTCTGGCAAAATGGTAGCATACATATTATTATTTTTTTAAAACCCACCCAAGTATCCATGTTTTCATTCCTCAAAGCCTGTCTACTCTCCCTTTTCCATAGAAATGTACTGACTTTTTTTGCATATTAGCTATTTCTCAAATCCTTAAAAACCAATTATGTTTTCTAGGCATTTATGACTATGGCTATGTACACTTCTGATGCTATGATAGCAATAAACACTGTACAAATCCCAGTTCAGCCACTTCAATTTGTTCTCTATTATAATCCTCAATGTGACTCCTGGGATTAAGTCTCATGGAACTCAGTGGATTTACGTTTGAGTAAACCCGTTTTGAGCGGGGACGCGGGTGGCGCTGTGGGTAAAAGCCTCAGCGCCTAGGGCTTGCCGATCGAAAGGTCGGCGGTTCGAATCCCCACGGCGGGGTGCGCTCCCGTTGCTCGGTCCCAGCGCCTGCCAACCTAGCAGTTCGAAAGCACTCCCGGGTGCAAGTAGATAAATAGGAACCGCTTACTAGCGGGAAGGTAAACGGCGTTTCCGTGTGCAGCTCTGGCTTGCCAGAGCAGCGATGTCACGCTGGCCACGTGACCCGGAAGTGTCTCCGGACAGCGCTGGCCCCTGGCCTCTTGAGTGAGATGGGCGCACAACCCTAGAGTCTGTCAAGACTGGCCCGTAAGGGCAGGGGTACCTTTACCTTTTAAACCCGTTTTGGAATGCACACAAGCCTCAATAACACTACCATTAGGGCTAAAAGAAACCTGATAAGTAGGTAGGTATGCCCTGAAGAATGCCACCCTCCATACTAGTCCACGAAAGTTTATATATTGATGAAATTGTCAGATTTTAACAATTCTTTGTTGGTTTTTGCTGCAATGGACAAACAAATCTACCCCTCTGGAAATGACAACGTATTTGTGTCTGTGGGTTTTGTTTTTTAAAAGAAAAGTTCTTCATCCCCCCTCTTCCCAGGGGAAGAGCTGATTCGGCTGATTGAAGCGAAGAAAAAGATGCCCCACCACCACTCCCATTTGATGTACAAGTTGGCTAGAATAGCTGAAACTTATCAATGCTGGAGGGGATCCTGCTCTCACAGTGCCCAACCAGATGCTTGTGGGAAACTGCAAAAGCAGGATTCGAGCACAAGAGCACTCATCCCTCCCATGGCTTCCAGAAACTGGTACTGTATTAATATTGTTTTATTTTATTTATTAATTTTGTATCTCACCCTTCATTCGGAGAGCTCAAGCATGGGGTTGGCCACTGAGAGAGCAAGATGCCGAGCTAGATGCGCCAGTACGTTTTTATTTTCTTAGCTTCACAGGTGAGAAACTCCGCAGTGTGTGGTCTTCGCTCACCTGCTGATTCCAGGTGAGAGAACTCCAAGAAGTAAGGATCACAGCGTGCAAACCAGGTATAAAAACTTCTCCTGATCCATAGGCGCCGACTCCATGGGGCTTGAGGGGGCCCGAGCCCCCTCAAAAATTCGTTTGGGGGGGCTCCGCCCCCCCAATAATCTCCGGCGCCCCTCCAGCAGAGCGCCATCGCCGCCCCTCCCCCAGCCCAAAATGCACAGGGAGGGTCGGGCTGCATGCCTCCTGCCCTCCCTCCCGAGCAAAAGCTCCACCCAATTTCCTTTGGCCAGATACCTCCTCACCTCTTTTACTCTGCTAGACCGGGTGCTCACAAGAGAGCAGCTGTGAGTCCCAGAACACCAGGACCCCTTCCTGGGATCGCTGCATAGCTGTTCCAGCGCCGGAGGAGGCCGTGGGGCCAGCAAGAGTGTTCCCTTACGTTCCCCCACCTGCCCCACAGGCAAGCTGGATACATTTGCATCAAATAGATATGAAACCTGTTTCATTGATAGAGAGTAGGGGGTGGGATCCCCTGCTCAGGCCCTGGGGATGAGGGGTTGAAATGAAGGAGGAGAAGGACCGCCCGGAGGACGGCCTTGCAGAGACAACAAAGCAGCCTTGTCGGGTGAGAGATACCTCAGGCGACCCCTCCGGGCCTTTCACCCCTCGAGCTGTTGATACAGCCGGGACTAAGAGGCCATCCAAACACCCCAAATCCCATTCACCCACGCAGGACGACGAGCCAGAGTGGGCTCCTCCACCTATAAACTCCCCTCCTAGTGATCTGCAGCGAAGAGGCTTGTAAACCCTTCAATGGAGTCCCGAAACCCCTCAATGAAACATCAGGATTTCTCAAAGAACCATCGCTGACCAATGGGCATCGTCCAAGGTGAGAGGCAGCCAATCCAAAGTCAGGAAGCAGCAGCCCCGTGTCTGGAGCGCGCGATCCGCCAGGAGAGCGCAAGAAACCGAGAGCAGAAAGCGGGGAAGAAGCGCGCTACAAAATGTAGCAACAGCGGATACAATGTTTCCTCCTGTTTCCTTGTTTCTTGCAAGACAGAAACAGAGGGCGATCCAGGGCTCCCCTCCCTCCCTCCCTCCCTCCCTCCCTACCTCCCTAGCAGAAGGTCCTTGGAGCTGATTAATAGGCGCAGCACGCTCTCCCCTATTCGCTCACGAGGAGGCGGCGCCACTTTATTTGCATATTCATGAGCTTATTTATTATTCATGAGCTTTCCCGGGCCCCCCCAATATTTTTTATAAGTCCGCGTCCCTGTCCTGATCAGCAGGGCTTTCCTTATGTCATGATGCTCCCTTGACCCCGCTCTTTAAAGTTATTCTCAAAGAACCGAAATGCCAATTCTGGGCTATCCCGGCGCAACAAAGAGCGAAGTTCAACAGAATTCCCACGGAATGGCACAAACTATAAAGCCAAGAGCTGCTTGACTACATTTCCCGGCAGGCTGCGCGCGCGGGGCGGAGCCCTCGTGCTGAACGCGGCGAGAGGGTTTCTGGGAACTGTAGTCCTTCCGGTCGCTCAGAGGGCAAGGCGCCCGCTCTTACCGATCCTACCGAAGGGAGGGAGGAAAATGTCGTTCGTGGTGCCGAAAAGGGCGGGGGTGACGCTCAAGCAGGTGAAGAGCGTCTTGGTCGCCTTCTGCCCCTTCGAGTCCAACGTGGAGAGCACCAGGTGAGGAGAGGCCACGGGGTTGGGATCCACTGGATCCGAAAAAGGACTTCCCCACCCCCGGACCCGTTCATCCCAGGGCACTGATGGGCAAGCCATGCACACAACCTGCACGAAATACACGTGGCATCGTAGGCACGTTTTGCCCATTCTGATTGTAGAATCTGGCTCCCAATGCTGGGCTGCGGTTCCTTAGCACTGGGGGTGCAAAGTACTTTATGGGCTGAGAATGGGCCCTAGCTTGATTTTTTTTATATAAACAATTAGCAGGACTCATTTATTTCTGACCGTTTTGCTGCTGTGCCCTTGCCATACTGCATGGCAGGCAGTAATTCAGCTGGTGTAGGATAGGGCCTTTTCTCGTAAGCAATGCAGGGAGGAGAGAAAGAGAACTGTTCTGTTGAATTTCTACCTGAGATCATGCATAGCTTATACAAAACAAAAAACCAACCCCCCCCCCCCGCAAAAAACAACAACAGACAGACAGACAAAACCCTGCCATGCCACTCCTAAATTATTGTTAGACCTAACGGAAGTATGATGTTGGGCATAGAAGGTAAACTTTTGTACCCTGTGCTACTCACACCTTGTTTAAGCTGTCACTTCTGTAGTGTTGGCATGCTAGCATCCGACTCCTCCACTCCATGCCCCAGTCCAGGCTCTTAATGCCTGCTATGTTAACTCTGAACATGGTGCGTGCTTGATATGCTATACAGATATGTTTCCTTACATGGCTTGCATCCTGATTAAATCATGTCTAGTACTAATAATCACGCTCTGCCTTATCCAAAATGACTGAGTTAGATATTTGCCTCCTTCACACTGAGCTCTTTCAAGGAGGGCAGGATATAAATTCAATAAATAAAATGTAACTAATTCTACACCGGAGTGCTTTGAGCAATTGGTATGGCAAGCTACTAAACTGCAAGGATTTTTTATTTGTTTTTATTTGTTTTTGTAACTTGTAAGATTGTATTGCCTGTCTTAATGTTTCAGAGCTTTGCTGTATGTATATTTTGGATTTTGGCAGCTGATATTATTACATTGTTCCACTCTTAATCTTCCTATTAGGTGTTTTGTGGATTGTTGAGATAGAATCTTTAGACTAAAAAGATTGTTCATTGTATTTTATGCTTCTAACTGCTATGTTGTTGATAAAATATGCTCTGATGATGCTATGGCCTGTCGGCTAAGCAAATAAAGTCTATTTTTTTCATGCTCTGATCTATATTTCTGAACCTTTTCAGAAATTTCCTACAGTGTCTGTATACAAAGAAAGCCTTTTTATCCAACAGCAACTGTGAAGTGAAAACAGATGTAAAACACGATGGGTCTGAACCAGTAATTGACGTCGTATTTGGTAAGGAAGCATTCCTGTTTTGTAAACCAAAGCCGAGATGGTCAGCTGGTAGCCTTTGGGCCAGATGAACCCCCTCTAAATAATTTTCTGCTCCCTGGAAGCCTCTCTATTCAAAAAGCTGTCAAGCTGTAAAAAGCTTCCATTATTAATGTGTCATCTCCTTTTTGGATTTTGCATATACAAGCAGGTCCCCCTTTACAAACCCAATGCCTTCCCTGGAAATCGTTCATCAGACAAGTGTTTGCATAACCGAGTCCACGGTTTCCATTGTTTCCCATGGAAACTTGTCTAATGCAGGATTTGTCTGCTCCCTTTCCCCGCACTCGCCATAATTTCTTCCTGAAATGGCTGTAGCCAATCAGCAAAAGAGAGGCAAAGGAAAAAAATGGATTTGCCCAATCTCTCTCACTGTCTGATTTGTCAGATTTTTCCTGCACTCTGACTTGTCCGCTTTCACTCCCCTGCCCAAAAGTGGCCACAGCTGACCAAGCAGGAAAAAAACTAAGGAAGTTGGATGTTCAGATAAGTGAATCTGCAGAGCGTTTAGCAAGGTTTTGGCATAATTCTGCAAACATTATTATGGAACTGACCACTCTCAGTTCCTAAAACTACAGAGGCTAGCCATCCCTGCCCTAAAGAAGTTGGGGATCTTCTGTGGCTTTCAGATTCAGAGAAAAATTACTTATTTTACTTGTGGGATCTTAATGGAAGAAGAATTCAACATTTTGCCCAGCGTTTTGGACCATTTATGCCTCTTGCCTCAAATGCCTTTACTTGAAAACCTCTTTATTTTATTTTAACTATCTCTGTTGCTATTCTAGGGGGTACCTCTGATGTGTAAATACATTGGCTTGGTGTTCAGAGTATTACTTTCTTTCCCTTGGTTTCCACAAATTCCCACCCCACTCCTTAAGCAGTGCTAGATGGCAAGAACTCATTTCTGCAGGTTGCTTCTGGCAGCAAGGTTGTAACAAAGTTTGGAACTACTATCTGCCGTATCTCTGCATTGTCAGTTAAGCCAGGAAGATAAAAAGAACTGAGAAAAGTATACTTCCAATGGCAGTGTGCTTTGACTCCACTAGATGGCTCATGGTAGCTTTTGGAAAAAAACCAGTAGCCTCACTGGATGCTGCTCATTCATGATGAACCACAGTAAGCTAGCACATCCACACCATACAGTTAAAGCACATGGCTTCCTTCCAATAATCATGGGAACTGTAGCTTACTCCTCTCATAGATCAATTCTCAGCACCCTTAACAACCTGCAGTTCTCAGGCATCTTTGGGGGAAGCCGTAGGCGCCAAATGTACGGTAATGATGTGATCAAAGCCTGGTTTGCCATCACATTCAAACCTGACCAGAGTTCTATTACAAATTAAGCTGCTCTAATGGGAAGGTTAGTGTGCAACTACACACCATAAAAAACCATGTCACGGACAGATAGGCATGCAAGGTTAGTTAGGGAGAAGGAGCATTTGACACAGGGTTGTAGTTTGCACATTATTATTCTTTGAAATGTGCAGTTCTGCCCTTACATACAATACGTGTCTATTCGAAAGTCCATTGAGTTCAGTGGGGCTTACTCTTAGAAAATTATGCTTGCTCTCCAACCCTTTCCAAGACCCTTACTTCATGAGCTGTGTGGTCACTGTAGCTGGCCATCTGTAACTTCCATTATCTCAGAGACTTCCATTATCAGAAACAGTGAGAATAGCTTTCAGATAATGGAATATTGGGGCAGCCGATTTCTGTCATTAACTGCCTCACATCATATTTTCAATAAGTATATTTTATTGTTCCAGCCAAAGGCCATGACAAGTACATACTGCAACAAATCAATAAAATAATACTAAGATATACAGTGTGAAAGGAGGCACCTAAAATATGGCGGGGGAGGGGGGAGGAACATAATTAATGAATAAGCTCTACCTCCCTCCCCTTTAGTTCTATCCCTGTTCTCTATTTGCAAAGTTTGTAGCCCTTAAAACCTGTGCCAGTTTTTCATATGTCCACGATCTTACTTGCAAATTTAGACTGTTTCCATGTCAAACACTTGATGCAAACCCAGGCAAGATCCAGAGAACTGCAAGGTGATTTCCATATAAACCATATAGAAGGGATCCACATTCCTATAGCATCTCTACCCCAGATAAATCACTCAGGAGAGTCTGTGCACTTCTGGTGAACAAATGTCAAAAAGCAGGAGAGCGCCAATGTTTGCTGCTTTGAGTCCTGTCAAGGTTCTTTAGGTGTGGACTTGGGAGTTATGTGGTGCCAGCCAAGTTCTCTCACTACTCCGTTTTGAAGGACATGGTACAAAGAATGATCTGCAGCCATATATATGTACACACACAGTATACATATGTAGTGCTTGTGGCGTTTTAATACGCCTGTAATGTTGCTTTCTAAAAATCTGGAACATTTAACCAAGAATATTCATCTGATGTTGTCATGTAGAACTTGGGCAATTGCTTTTTGTTTTCCTTCTGTTCTAAACTATGTTAATTCTTTTGCAGCTGACGGTGACAGACTGATCATGAAAGGAGCCAACTTAACCATTAGAGAAATGTTAAATGCCTTCAACTCTAGGTGTGAAGCCAAAGAGAATATGGCACAAGAGAAGGCTCAGAAAAAGAGTGCCTGAAAGTCAACCAAGAAATAGTTAAGATGTTTCATATGAACTCATGAAAACTGTGGTGCAACTTCTTCCCTTGGAATGAAAGCCAGGACTTTACCAAGGTGGATACAGACAGAATGCAGATTGGTCCTGACAAATTGCTGAATGATGTCTTTGACTTTTTCTTTAAAGATAAAACTCCATGCAAAAGAATTGATTATGCAGTAGTCTCATGTGTTATTTGTGTTATTCAGACTTCTTGGAGCAAGGGGTTTAAGAATGATAACATTAGCTATGAGACAGTGGACATTTGTTGTAGCACATAGGAATTGCAGTAGCCTTTTCCTGACATTCTGTTGTCGCTAAGAAAATTTAGTTTCCTTCAAGACTCCTACAGCTATAGCAGAGAATCTATGTTGTTTCCATTGAGCGAAATCTCTTTCAGGACCAAAAGGGAGTAATTGCACAATTTGCAGAGTGATTAATTTTAGGTAAAGCAATAGAGGTATGTAGAGCAATCAAGAGTCAGGCTGGGCAGCAGTATGACCTGACAGGACCCACCAACACGCCCCCCCCAATTGTTCATGCCAACCAGGGCAGAAGGCAGGAAACAGGAAGAAACCTGAACCTAGCGTAGCAATCAGACTCAGATTGGGCCCAATTCTGTCAAGGGGCAGCAACGGAGCTGGATCAGGACTTTCTGCAGGCTGCTGACAGCGTTACCTCCACCTACCTGAACCTTTGGACAGGATGGGGTGCTTCACACCTGCAGAGCTGCTGGGGGCTGGAAAGAGGTAGATTTGCCCCATTCTCCCCACCCACCCAGTGTGACAGTTTTGGGGCCTGGATTGTGCCCTGATTATTCTTTCTGCATACATCACAACCAATTTTGCTAGAGCGACTGTCCACAAAGCCAAGAGTCATTACTTATTTAGGGTATTTTGAAAATACTGTATAGGCACAATTCTGCAGCTTCAGAAAATTCGGTCACATGGAAGTGTTTGACCATACCAAAAAAATAATAATGGTGTGTTCTTTGGTTGCTTTTTTTTCTTTTAAGGATCACAATGTAAAGCTAAATTGATTCGTACAGTTTTCACAGCATTATACAGCTCAGTGAAAAAATATTTAGAGGAAGAAAATTGCATGGAATTGGAGAACTGCCAAACTCAGGTTCAAAATACTACCTGGCCTGGTAATCTCTGCCCCACAGTGTGTGCATGCATGAGAGTGTTTTGGCTTCTGTCAAGAGCAGGAGCGGGGACCTGTTTTCTGCCAGAGGGTTGTAGTTCCCCTCTGGACAGTTCCATGGGCCAGTGGTGGGTGGGGCCAGAAGCAAAAGTGGGAGGAGCAACAAATGTAAACACTGCTTTCCGTTCTGTTAGCTAACTTCTACACAGACACCTCTCTTCTCCATCCAGGCAAGCAAAAGGCATTATTGGTATTCAAGGACACATTCCAGCTAAGGAGAAACACTCAAGGAGGGTGTGAAGCAAGGCTGGTGAAGACTGTTGCCTTTGCAGATTGTAATTTGTGGAGAGAATGTAGAGGGTCAGAGAGAGAGAGCGCTTAGAGGGTCACATTTGACCCCTGGACCTCCTGATTTCCTCTGATAGCCTACAGGTAAAATACAGGAAATGGTTGAGATTTGAGCCTGTGTATATGCCCCTTGAAAAATTGCAAGCATACGGGGTTCAAGTGCTTCCCACTCTCTTCCTCTGATTCTGTTATAGTAGGGCAAATATCTTATTTGCACCTCCCTGTTTTAGGCATCTTGTTCCGCCTCTGGTCACTTGTGCTCACCTGGCCTTAGTATCCTTTTTTTTCTGTTCATTTGCTTTCCCTACACAAGTAAATTAGGACAAAGAAATGACGTTGTGTTTCTGAAAGACGAGGTTTGCTCAACTTCTTAAAAGTTCTTTATAAAGCTTGACAGTTGACTTTTCTACATCAGCTTTAAACGACTGCAAAGTGTTGCAGCAAACTCATTGTGCAATACGTAACTAAATAGGGCAAGAATTTTTGGGATTTGGCAAGCACACACTGGCAAACCCCAGTGACTGGGTTTGGGGGCAAGAAAAAAATAGTAAACAACAAAGCAGAGAAATTAGACTAGGTATTACAGCCATGAGTTGAGACAGAGACAGAGAGTTGAGAGGGATCTTGCCATACAAAATGCTTTCATAAGATTTTCAATGACCTGTTACACATAATTATAATGGGTTATGGTGGATTCCAAACCTAACCCTATCCATACATACAAACAAACTACCTGCCAGTTGCCAGTACCCCTTTTGGGGGAAGTTGAGAGGGTAGTGGCAGCACAACTGCTGGCACTCTTGAATAACACCAATGTTCCTGACCCTTTTTAATCTGGGTTGAGGCCTGGTTTGGAGACCAAATCGGCTCTGGACTGATAACTTTCATTGGGAGGGAGATGGAAGGGGGAGTTGATTCTCCCACACGGTGTCCTATTGGATCGGCTTTGAGAGCTGAGAGTGAACAGGGCAATGTGTTATACCTACATGGAGGAGCAATAGGGCGATTGATTGCCTTTTGACCCTCTGTGAGTTGCAGGGCAACCACTTTGTCCCGAGTGCTATCCAATAGCTGTATGAAACTGCTGGGTTCACAGCTTTGGAGCAGAGTGTCATCAGTATGCAGTTTACACAGCTCTATTCTCCGTAGCATCTGAAGCAAAAGGTGATGTGCAGATCCTGCACTAGTGCCTAAACTCAGTAATGAGCTGGATGACAGCCAATAAGCTGAAGCTGAATCCCAGCAAGACAGAGACCTTGTGGGTGAGAGGTTCCCCGTTCCAGAAAATGGGTCAGTTGTCTGTTTTGCATGAGGTTCAGGCCCTCTGAAAAAGCAAGTATGTAGCTTGGAGGTACAGTGCTTAGAGACTTAAGGGTGACCTGCTGCCAGTCAATACTGAAAGACTGTCATGTGAGTTTGTATAAAGCAGTTTCCAATACTCCTAACCAATGCCAGCTGTTGGGACACCTCCAGTTTTCTGGTAAACAGCATTGTGAAGACAAGGGACTGGTTCTGTTGCTCCGCCACACTACTGAACCTGAGCTGAGTTATTATCGCAATAGTATGTTTCTTGGATTAGCAGCCTCTCTGGAGGAATGGCAGAGGTCGAAGATTTCTTGGGAAACTTGTGACATTCATGTCAAACTGGCAAGGAAGATTTGGGAAAACACAGTAAAAGGTTCAAGTGCACAGTAACTATCTTTGCAATGACACTGGAGTCTTCAAACGCCAGTCTTTAAATAAATTGATTTTCAAAAGTACAGAAATATGAATACAACCCACCCCGGCCCCAGAAATGAGAAAGCAAAAGGTAAAGCTACAAAGCAAAGTTAAAAAATATTTATGAATCTGATCTTTCTACAGGTTCGTAGTTTACTGCTTATGACATTTATTGTTTCAATTTCCAATAAACCGTCTAGGATAAGGAACTACTCTCAACTCCACAAAAAGCAGGAGAAAACATGCTTGCTTCAAGTGACAGCCCTTGAGATATTTGAAGATGGTTATCATATCTCTTCCCAGTCTCCTCCTTTTCCAGGCTAAACATACCCAAATCCCTCAGTATCATGCTGGGAGTTTTCAAAACACCTATCGGCCGAGGTAAACTTGATAAAATTAAACCATACTGAACAGAATGTTTTGGGGGAGCTTTGTACATAAGCAAGTGGACCCTTTGTGCCAGCTTCTCTGACATTCCTAATAACTCCTGGATCCTCTGCTATTGCTTGAGGTTCTAGTGGCACCAGAGGTGCAAGTATGCTTTAAAAATGCAAGAGATTTTTACTGGTTTGTAATGCCACCTATAGATAGATTTTAGCATTGCTCCCCAGATCTGGGCAGAAATGGAGAGTGTTGGTTAGGGATGGCTGAATACATCCATTTTGGTTTCTCATGTTTCCAAATTTAAGCTTAGTTCCCCACATTTCCACAGCAGTTTGGAATGTATTGTGTTTTTTTAAGCCCTCCTGAAAATGCATCAGCATTATACTCTGAATGTCTCCTCATATAACGTTAGGGAATTTCCCCTAGTATACACATTTTTACATAGCAATTTCCCCATATAGCACAAATAGCAGACTTTAATATGCTGTTTTCATTAATATATGTAGTTATATGCACACTGTACCCTAGTATATGCATTTTTTTTTTGTAACAGGTCTTGGCTGGAGAACTGCAAAATTGTGAATTTTGTTTTTCAGTTTGCACCTTATTCTGGAACACTTGCATCAGGGAAGCTAGTATTTAAATATAAACTGAATTTAATTTATTTCCATCTGTAATGTTGCTCTGCCGTCCCAAAGCTTGTTCATTGAAGTGGCAACTTCAATAAATGTCTTTGTAAGCCCTTTCCCCAATACTGTTACATGCCCTGTCATTTCCCCATATCCATTGCTAACCATAGCTATCTTGGCCTCAATAACTTATATCAAAGTTTATTAACATTAGTTCAAATTCAGTGAGGCCTCTCGTGGTTTGCTCTTTCACTTTTGGCTTCATCGTGAAGGAAGTAAAAAACTTCAGTCTTTGAAGTGCCATAAATAAAGGGTCAGCTCCACACACTTTATAGACCTTTCTGGGTGCATAAATCTCTCCCCCCTCATTTGCCACCTGTTGAGATGGGTATCTTGCCATTGCTTACAACTAGCTTTTATTTCCATAGCCTTCAATGCATTATCTTTTAAAAGCATGTCTTCCTTTGGAACAGGCTGGTGCTCATGCATGTTTATTCAGAAGGAAGTCCTACTGAGTTCTCTGGGATGTCTTAGAAGTGTGTATTTAGAACTGCAAACCCAAATAGTTTTAAATCCAAGTAATTTGACTTAAGTGGGTAGAAAACTGAGCACATATTTTCTCAGTAAGATCTAATATTTTTTGAATGCAGCTGTGTAAACTCCTTCCTACTTACTGAGAAAACAAAGAATAATTTAATAGGTCCAAGTTTAATATTTTGAAGATGCCCTGGTAACAATAAATGGGCCAAAGGATAGCATTTCATCACAAAGGACATCAAAGCCTTTGTTACAGTAATCTGAAGTGAAGCTATCAAGAGGACCACCTAGAATGTGTAGCCTGGCTTTCTTCCTGGGCATCTCCCTCTCATAAGGGGACAGGTAAGGCTTTCTGGAAACCAGGTATTATGAGGAACAGTTGGCAGAGCTCGGTGTGTTTTAGCATGGA